ATTTTAAGTTTCAACGTCAATAATAAGGAATACTAAAAAATAATACTAATAAATAATTAATTCTAAAAAATAACGCTCTTGAATTATTTAATCTCGTACGAAAGTACGATTTATGCTTTGAGTAGTTCATCAACAGAGTTCAGTCTACCGAAAAAGTATTCAGTCCATAGCGATCGTTAGTACTCGCCGCGCGCCGTCCGTACGGACTGCATAGGCCAGGAGTGTTCAGCAGTCAAAGGGTTAATTATCATTAGATCGTTAGAAATAACTAATAGTCTATTTACACGTATATCAAATCAATCCTCAACCAGTTACCACAAGATTACAAAAAAAACTTGCAAGTTAAATTACTATAAAAAAAAAAAAAAAAAAAGATGTGTCCATCTACCATAGGAGATTATTATTTTTTGTATCATCATCGTTTATACAAAAAAGAAAGAAAGAAAGAAAGAAAAAAAAAACAAAAGAAAACAATAATCATTTCGTGAAGCAAAACCACGTATAAAATAAAATAATATTTATTTTAGCTGCACTCTCTCTCTTTTCGCTTTCGCTTTCACTAATGTTTCTACAAAATAAAATAAAAAAATAAAATAATAATAATAATTACAATCGTAAATTTAATTTGAAATATAAGGATATAATTAAAAAGTAATTAAAAAATATATTCTCTCTCTCTCTCTCTCTCTCTTTATCAAAAAATAAAATATAATATAAAATATATATTAATTTTTGAACTCTATTTCTTTTGCTTTGTTTTTTTTGTTTTTTTTTTTTTTATAAAACAAACAAACAAAAAATTAAGCTTTTTTTAATTGTAAAAAAAAAAAAAAAACTCGCATTCCTACAGTAGTGCGCACAATATGTTATTCTATTTATATATTAGTCAATAATAAAAGTGTAAGAAAAAAAAAATATATCTTTATATACGAAAAAGACAATCGCACTATTAATAACATATTAACAATTATTATTATTATTATTATTATTATCATTATTATTATTATTATTATTATTATTATCTCGAAATGTCAGTAATACTAATATAAGTTTTTAGTTAACATTTGTAGAAACAAGAATGATAAACAATTTGTATTGTCTCTACCCGTTGTCTCACCGTAAATCTCAAATGGTAGTTGGACATCGTATAATAAAAATAAATTAATCGTTGAATTAATCGATCTTATTCGTACGAAAAAAAAAAAAAAAATAGAAAAAAAAAAAAAAGAAGAAGAGGAGTTAAGTCAACAGGGACTTTGAACTAGCTGTATCGCATGTTGCAGTGCATCAGCGATATTCTGAAAAACAGGTACACCTTCGCGCTTTGCATAATCCGACAGGTACATCCTTCCCCGATTATAGTCTTTCGTGGCTTGTTCGGTTAACTAAATTTTCATCAGAATTATAATATATTTATAGATTTTAATAAGAAAATATTACGATAATATTAAATAATAATAATAATAATAATAAGATCTCACCTTTTCACCAGAAATAATACAACCTTCAGGAAGAGTTTGAACGCACAGGACAAGCTTAGCACGTATTCCAATCATGTGAGCTGCTAATGCCATTAAGGCAATGCCACGAGAGTGCTGCGGTACAATTAATAGGATTAACCGCGAATTTTTCATCTTTTGTAACTCATGTGGCAATACCCTTACGTTGTACTCATTCAGGCTTGGTCGATATAGAGTCAAACCCATAGACCTTCAAAATATATTCATTATAAACAAGTCACGGATATTTTATTGACAAATATTTAGGAGATTTTAAATGCTCACTCAATTAATGGAGCTGCAGAAGATTCTAACCAATACAGATCTTTAGTGACCACTCCAACATACAGGTCTCTTTTTTCAGACTCTGGTATTAAGGAATTAGTCCAATCTAAAAAGTTTGTTTATACACGTACATTTATAAATATATTTGTGTTCTTTCCTCAATAATGAATTAAATTATATTATTAAACGATCGAGATATATAAACTATTTCTACGACGAGATTACGATTAGATTTGGTGAAGGTGGTAGATGTGCGAAATACGAGTCAGACTAAGTGGGAAGTTGCAGAGATAATGATTCAATATACCTAAGAAACGCGTAAAAGGGTGTACAATAGCTCTGCGTAGAAATTTTGAGGCCTTCCTACATAATATACTCCAAACTGAAGGTATCTCACTTTCACAAGAAACTCCATTGTTCTTCATCCGCCATGAAGCTTCGCTGGCTAATGTGTAAAACTGTTCGAAGTTTATCCGCGATTCTGCTGGATCACTCCCCTTCCCCGAAAAGCCATCGATCACGCTTCTGTACGTTTCTACAAGCAAGATATTACAAATATTTTTGCAAATCAAAATACATCCATACTCTTGACATATTTTATTGAAATATTTAATATATCAAATTTTTTACATTTATACGTTACCTGATTTATTTACAGCATTGAGCAGATCTGAAACTGACACATTACATTTTGTGTTTGTCTGTAAGGCTACCCAAGCCTGAAAATATCATAAATAATAAGGTACCATTCATTTTTATTCCTAGATTTTGTTAATATATGGAGATGTGTACTAACTTCTCTTAAACTTATTGTACCACTATCATTAATGTCCAAAGATTTAAAAATCTCTCTTAACATACTGTAAAAAAAAAAATGGAATACGTCGTTAAAATATTACTTTAATATTAATATTTCATCAATTAAAATCTCACAATTGTAATATTTATTTACATTATATCGGACCCATTTTGACTTAGAGAGATTCTCATAGGTCTCACCCCATCATCAGCGTGTAAGTCCTGTACGTTTATTTGTTCGCGCAAAACCTAAACAAATAATTCACATTTTACCGTCATATATTTTAATTATTTTTTGTTTAATTTTAATTTTTGTATTACCTTAGATGTACAATTTAGAGCAATCGACACACTTTCGAATATAGGTATCCTATTTCTTTCCATAAAATATTGAAGTACAAGTAATCCATTCATTAAATCATAGTATTCCCTAAAACATATAAATATACGTTTATATTTCTGTATTGTTTTTCATCTTTGAAATAATTTTATATTACATACTGTGATGAAACACTTTCTCCAAGTATAGTCTGATCTTGCCGGTAGGGGTAAATTACAAGAATCAGAGATTCACTCCTAGTTGCTGCCAATTGAGCTGCTTCTATAATTCCTGCACTATTACGAGTTTGATTATCAATTACAAAAAGCAGAACACGTGCTGTTTGTTTTGCTTCATATTCTTGAGCTATAAGCTCTGGGCCCCATTGTGATACTTGCTAAAATATATATTTCAACTATTAACACCTACAGTTTTATATTCAATTCTGAATACTCTAATAGAGTAATCAAACTTACAGGATTATAGTAAGTAATTCCAAGTCTTTGAAGTGTCGGTATTGCTATCTCTGACCTCCAGGTGGTTGGATTACAAGAGCCACCCAAAAATACCTCATATGCCATTCTCTCTGGAAAAATAAATAATTTAAGTTTATATTTGTCTTTATGTATTTAGGACAATTTTGTTTATAAATTCCCTACTCACTTGAACCAATTTTGTGATTAGTATCCTTTCCATCACAGTGTAAAAAATGAGAGGTGCTCATAGGAACGACTGTTCTATAATTAAATAGAAACATAATTAATAATTTGCCTTTATAAGGATTATACAGTGAATCCAATATTATCACACTCAAACAATAATACATTTTTTGCAGCAGGATTTGATATTTTTGTTATTTAATTATTCAATACAACAATGTAAAGTTTATAAATATAGGAAAAGTGGTGTTGGAGTGTGGTAATAGGATACTTTTCATTGTTACTTATTATCAGAATTTATCTAATTCAATGAAATATTGCACACATACTTCCAAATATCAAATCCTCTTGCAATGAGAAACAGCTTATGTTGTTTCATCATCATTAAAATATCCTCATAGCTATCTTAACCAACTGTTCAATATTTTCTGCCTGTAACAAAGATTCATTTTTAACAGATTATTGACTTTACAAAGCAATAAGTTATTATTGTATATGTAAACAATTAATATTCAATTTTTGTTGTGTTGTTGTACAACTTATTCAACATTATTGAATATGTTTAGATACATACAAATATCGTAAAACAATAAAATATATTTCAAGATTTGACAGTACCCTCTTTCGCACAGAAGTGCCAGTTCTGCGGCAAATATGCAGAACTCCTCGAACATTATACAGGAATCTGTACTGATCCCATAACAATTCTCAACATCGTCCAGCACGCCTTGCGGCTGTAACCAGTTCGGGAAGAACAGCATTGTGTATATTTTTTTTATCTGAAATAGTATACATGAAAGATATATATTATTTTTTACATAGTATAACACGAAGTTATTATCATCAAATATACTGTATTAAATATTACTTACAAAACTGGGTCAAGCGGCAAACTGAGCAGCCCTTGGTCAGTGCACAACAAGTATTCATCGTTTAAAAGAACTCTTTTAATCCAAATACGTTCTTCCAAAAACAAAGGTATATTCCAAATTCCTGACAGACTTTGGATTCAAGTGTTTCTGTATAATAAAATAAAGAATTACGATATTTTCTTTTCCTTCTTATTATAACAAATAATAACAGAATAATACAAATCAAAAATGAAATTTAGATTAATGGAAAAACAGTATTATAAAATTACCAAAAACATGTAAATACAAAAGTGATGTATTTAATGATAAAAAAAAAAAAGAAGAAAATGTATCTTCCTCATGGGATTCTTAAATAAGAATACAAATTAACGCATTTACAGCTGGAAATATTATTTGAAAAGGTGCGTAGGAGAAGACGCTTTTGGATGGATTGTGAAAATGAAGGAAAGAGGGAGAGAGAGAGAGAGAGAGGAAGGTAGGTAGAAAGAAAGAGAGAGAGAGAGGGAGAGAAATCGTGTAAGAAAGAAAGAAAAAGAAAAAAAAAGAGAAAGAGCAAACGATAAATCGTAGCTGAGCACTCCTGCTGATCATTCGATAGAAAAGCGATGGTCGAGAGTAACAGCATACAAACACACATACGTACGTACACACACACACACAAACATACATACATACAGAGCGCACTAACCTTGGTGTTTCGGTACTGCATACCCACGCACAAAGAACATATACGGTAAACGTCAAAGAAAAAGTCATAAATGTTGAGAACATTTGATGATGCACCCTTGATCTTGGATCTCCGATGAAAATAGAAAAATATCGGGGCGATGATCGATAATTCACAAACGTGCGTATCAGAAAAATGTATACGTTCGTGTTGAGCTCCGCGTATTCCTGCTATTGCTCATACTTATTTATACACCGTTATATTTAAAATGAAAGACCGTGTCGCTGGATATCAGCGGGAGCTGGACGTCAAACGAGCAATATTATCACGAAAGCTTCGTTAAATCGACTGACAACGTTCCTAACTATATAAAATATCCACGTTATAGCGCGACGCGTTTATCCAACACAACACACACCACTTATTCTATCTTTTCACAGTCAAACAGGAGCCAAAAGAGTAGTGTTAGTAACGAGTGAACCAGAAGCTGGCGCTACCGTGTAAAAGCGCATCGTGCTGCGCTTGACATGTTTTGCTCCCGCTTCTTTTATCCCTTTCATTTCTTTTCCTATTTTTTTTTTTTTTTTTACTTTTTTTTTAATTATTATTTTCTTTTTTATTTTCCTTTTTCTCTTTTCTTCTTCTCCTCTTTTCTTTCTTTTTCTATTTTTTTTTTTTTTTTTTTTTTTTTTTTTAAGACAATGAGTTCTTCCTTACGCTCTCAATATAACAATAAATCTGAACACAAACTATTATCTTCGAAATTACTTAAGATATCTAATTAACATTTTCGATCTTTACGTTTCATATCAAAATCTTAAATGAACATGCGTGTTTGCTGTTATCTTTCTGTATCTATTATACAGTTCCAAACTATTGGGTTAATTCGTTTAACATTTATAAATGCAATATATATAAAAAAGAAGAAGAAATAAGAAAATTAAGGTATTTACAATCAAGGATTCACACGTAAATTCGGTTCAATCCAATTTCCGGTTTCAAAATGGCGGGCATTTGAAAAAGTACAAAAATTAATACGAAATTAACTTGAAATTATCTTAAAAATAAATTAAAGATTTTCTATAGAAATATTACTAATCATCTTAGCCATTAACGTGAACTACATTAGTCGTGCCTATACTATGTCTCTCTTTCTCTCTCTCTCTTTCTCTCTCTCTCTTTCTCTCTCTTTCTCTCTCTCTCTCTTTCTCTGTCTGTGTCTTATATAGAAATATTACTTTAGATATTACCATGTAGCACAATCGTTCTTTAAACTTGTAGAATAATATTTCCGTTAGTTATAAAAAAAAAAAAAAAAAGTTAAATAGAAATGTGGACTTTTGAATAAATAAATAATAAAAATATAATAATATCAAATACGAAGAGCGGACGACATTTTTCTCTTGCCCGCGCGCACCGACCGACTCAAAACAACTGGTTTTTCAAGGAATGACGTAAACTTCCAACAATGAGACCCTCGCCCCACTCCCTTTTACCACCTCCTCCACAGAGAACATCTAGTACTACTTGCTTCTAGTCTTCTGATGGTAGGGGTATATAAGACTGGGTGGTGGTGATGGAAGTGGCGATGATGGAAGTGGTGGTGATATGGTATGATGATGTTGATGTTGATGTTGATGATAGTAGTAGTGAGACAGCACGTTGCTTTTCGAATTTTACATCCTGCAAATTACATTTGTGTCATTCCTCATGAGATCACATCACATATATAAATATCGTATAAGCAAGGAGCCTTTTATATGTGTGTGTGTATATATATATATATATGTATGAAGCAATACATTCATTTGATCATTCATTATTCTGAATCAATCAGAATTATCCTCAGAAGTAAAGCGGCAAGGATTCGAAAATGATATGCGCCGATCATAAGAAAAGAGAAGGGGTAGAGAGATGACGTTTGATTTTCTTTCTCTTTTCTTCACGCCTCTCTTTGAAACACTTCTCCTTGGCGCACACCGATAACCTTTCAAATCGAATCTTAATCGCCGTTTGCCTCCGTAGTAAAAGGGAGCCCCATGTGCGAAATGTTGAACGCGGTTTTTGATCAAATATGGTATCGCTAGCGCGCTTGTTACGCTTTGTTGATCGAATCTTACTTTTACGCCGTCCTAATAGAGTGGGCGTCTTTAAGAATTTCAATTCGCTCTAAAGAAGGAAAGAATCGTTTTACTATGAAGAAGTATTATTTACTTTTAACGTTGTTATTATTATTATTATTATTATTTGTTCATATTCGAAGAATTTAGAAAAGAAATGTATCTTACAAAATTATGATTTGTAATGGGAAAATATACTACCGTATTAATGAAGGGATGAATCAAAGGATTGTATTTAACGATGATGATGATGACGATGATAATAACGAGATGACAAATACAATATTTGTATATAAAAGGTTGCAATATCTTGATAAAATATTTTCTGACGAAGAAGCCGATACTGAGATGATACAATCGTTTATAAATTATATGTTATTATGACACATACTTATATCATGTGACATGTGTATATATTGCCATACGTATGAGTATATATACGACGTCATACGACTTTCTTATCGTGTGATCTTTACGTACGCAGCATGTTTTGTACAAACAAAGAATCTAAACGATTTCTTCTTTTCTTTTTATTCATTAACTTTTCTTTTTCAATTTTAAGCGCGGCCAATTGATCCATCTTCCCATTTGTTGAAAATCCACGAAGTTTAAATGTAAGCTCGACTTTTTGTTATCGTAAGTCAATTATTCGTCATATTTTCATGTGAATGCCTATAAAAGCACAGATAAAAAATAATCTCTCTCTCTCTCTCTCTTTGTTATTGATTTGATTAAATGATAAATTAGTTTACATTTGTTAACAGTTATATATCGAAGTATTATCTTCTTTTTTATTGATCTGTTATTGTCCAAATAGTTCTATGACTTCATTGTTTATTTCCTCTGATAAAACTTGTTTAAACTTTGACAGAAAACTATTTATTCGTTTAGTTAATTCTTCGTAGCTATTAATTTTAATAATTACAATATTATTTGGATATAATTTAAACATGACTTTATCAACTATTACCAACTATGTTTTCTGGACAATTTAGGAAAGGTTATATTTGATTGGTCATTGATTTCAAGATTTGATTGGTCATTCACAAATGTTCATATAAGCATTTTCATTGGATCTTACTTTCTGCAAATGTTTTATAAATCGTTAATAAAATATATGATTTCTATCTTATGAATCGAATAGTATATGCTCGATCTTAGTTTATTATCAAGTATGGAGGATAGAGGTAAGGAGTAACATCTCTTATGGGAGAAAATGTGAAAAAGTGTCCAGCGTTTTCTATAAATAATAGTTCAAAAACCTTCCAGAATGGCGCTGGTGTAGATAGAAGGTATGGTATGAATATAACAATTGTAAACGAATTGAAGTATGCCGAGTTATGTAATAATGTAGTAAATATAACCTTAAAGAATTATTACGAGAAAACGTGTAGCTAGAGTGATTTTATTTCGTGAACTGTGAATAGTACGTTTATTGATTTTTTATCATTTAATTTTATGAAAAAGTATGTGAATAACAAAACAGTTATGGGGGTAAAATTTGTGTTGTGAAATTCGTGTTCCTTGTTTATTTCTCAATCCTACCCTACTCTAATAACATTTGGCGCTTCCTTTAAAATGTACCCTCAAGCTACTGTGGCGCCACCCTAATTGAATGCATTTCGACAGACACTTTTCATATACAGATATGTTACTCCTTACCTCTATCCTCCATAGTTTATTATCAAGAAATCCGTTCTTACAAATGACATATTCTATGACATATATAGCTATTTTAGCGGCGTTTGCATTATTCTCGAAAGTGCAAGAACGTTGTAAACACGTACGTTAAATGACAAATATTGTTATAATATTGTGTGACTAGTTAAATACTTTATAATGATATAATTGGAGTCTCACAATGTTGGGTATAATTGTATCTGGTCGTCTAGTAAGTATATTTTTAATTACACTTGTTGATAGATAATATTCTTATCGTTATTCCGATATTAGTCATTAATATTCTTTGATCGAGAAATATTGACATTAACTCTTGAAGATTATATCAATTTTTAATGTTAATCAAATTTTGTATTGACTATTAGAATTTCTTACACATTAAGAAATTACTTAATTATTATTATAAATAATTGTTTATCTTTTAGGTTCAGACAGATTTTCAACAAATTGGAGAAAATCAATTTTTAATCACAGTACCCGATGCTGATAATATAAATCACATTGTAGTATTCCTTACAGGTACTATTCCATTCCCTGATGGAATGGGTGGTGCAGGTAATTAATGATTTCAATAATACCTTATTATACTTCTTCAATTCAATCATACATATATATTTCAATAAATTTTATTTTCTTTCAGTTTATTTTAGTTGGCCAGATTCAAATGCACCACCAAACTGGCAATTTTTAGGATTTATTTCTAATCTGAAACCATCTGCTATATTTAAAATATCAACGCTAAAGAAAAATCATGAATTTGAAAATAGTAATTTAGGAATATTTGGAGTTGGCAAGATTTCTCACGTAGCACAAATAGGCATTTCTGTTGAACCATTGAATGTGATAGAACAACAAGCAGCTACTGTTACAGAAGCTGCAACTAATTCATTTGTCGAATTTGTACAGAAGATGCTTACAAGCTTTATAAATTATGCATCCAGTTTTACTGTGACTCAAGCACAGATGACTCCAAATCCTACGGAAAATTTTGTACCATTGTCTACTGTACAAGGATGGTATGAAACCTTTGAAAGAAGATTACAACAAAATCCTAACTTTTGGAAAGCGTGATAAAAATTCACAATGGGTATTAGTTAGATTTGTCACAATTTCTTTTGTAGCTTTAAAAGATTCAATATGTTACCTACACTTCTTTAGCATTTTTTTTATATTATTTTTGCAACATAAGGTCAATGTTTTTTTTTTTTTTTTTATATATCCTTGCAAAAGATAATTCATTCTTTTGCAAATTTTTCTTTAAAAATAAGAGATTATTTTAATATTCTGATTAAGCATGAATAGAAAAGTAATATAGTCATATTCTAATAGATGAAAAATAATATTGATATCATTTTTCATTTTATTATAATCAATAAATGCATTTAATGCACCTATTCATACAAATTTATGCAAAGTACATTATCATTGTATTATGTATTTACATAATATTACATAGTATACTTGATGCAAATGCTTAGACAATATATATTATTTAAAATTAAAGATGAAATAACAATTTTGAATAAAAATAATTATTAATATTAAGAATAACTGCATGTCATCTTTTTTTTTTTTCATAACATCTAATGCAATTTATGATTAATTTAATTTGTATAAACCAATGGGACATATATATATATATATATATGTTTCTTGATATTGTAACAAATTACCAAACTATGACTTATATTAAATTATATTCTACAAGATAATTATGAAATAATATATGAATTGTTATTTGAAAAATTGAATAAGTGTTCAAATCAAATAAAAAAAAAGAAAAAAAAAGGATAACTAATTTTGAAGTTTAAAAAAATACAAAATTAACAAAGAAAAAGAAACAATGTAAAGAAAACGTCAGGTGATAACAATGTTTATATACACGAGAGTAAAAAGAAAAACAGCAGCGTAAGAAGTCAAAGTCCGTTGTATTTTGATTACAATTCAAATATCATCTCTGTTAAATGATTGGACATAACTATTGGAAAAAAATGTTGTATGCGTTTACAAATGAAATGTGATTGGTTGATATTGCGAGTGCGCATAAGTGCACCACATTTATCCGATGCATCGTCGTCGACCTTGTAAACATCTGTTTCATATCGCAAGTAATCAGTCTCACATGAGAACTTAACTTAAAGTGTACATAGACCGATCTGTCAGTACTACATCTTTCACGTCGACTCGTACGAATTTTGTTAAATAATTTTCGTTATCAAAAAAAAAAAAAAGAAAAAAAAAGGAACAAAAAGAAAAAGAAAAACTCGACGTTGTTATATCTATCGTAATCGCGGTTTGTTTTTCGCAACGTAATAATAAATAGTTATATCGTTAATGGAGATCGTTTTATACTATGTGGGCCATTTTCATGAACCTCCCTAATGAAAACTAATCGCGTTGAACTAGCGAGATTTTCCACGGCCGTCGTTTATACCATAACTGCATGCGCCTGACAATCTTACGTGTATCGCGAGGTCACACGTTACATTTTTTTTTTTTCTCCATAAGGGTAATGCGGGATATTGTTGTTTCTTGTCGAGAAATGTTTAATAATCCTTCATGATTTGAGATAAGTGTCGATGCATTTTGTATGAGACGTCAGGAACAGTGCTGTCAGATCGTGGGTAAATCTTACCCTCTCCCTGTGCCACTGGGATTGCACACAATGAAAGTTTTCCATGTCCGTGTGTTTGGGATTTCGAGGAAAGCCGAGTGTAACCGAAGTTGGCGGTTGGCCACGAAGTGGCACATTATGAAAGCGACTCGTGTCCATGTGTTCGGACGCACGAGTCGCTTTCATAGTGTGCCACTCCGGCGTGCCCGCCAACTTCGGTTACACTCGACTTCTTTCGACATCCCAAACACACGGACATGGAAAACTTTCATTGTGTGCAATCCCAGTGGCACAGGGAGAGGGTAAGATTTACCCACGATCTGACAGCACTGGTCAGGAATTCCAAATATCGTCAACCCCTCCTGCCCCCCCTCTCTCTCTATCAATTGCGGAGAAACTTCGCAGTCCAAAGTAAGATGTCTTTGCGAGAGGATGACTGATTTCATCGCATTTCAATGTTTTGACATTTATCAATTTCAACGTATATATATATATATTTTTTTGCACGCTTTCATTTTCAAAATTGGCTTTTATCAATTGATTTATTTATATTTTATTTTTATTTTCTTTTTATTTTTTATTTTTAAACGATCTATCGAAACATCGCTTTAACATTGTTCGTTATTTCGTTAGAGAATGTAATAAATAAACATACAATTGCTATTATGTTCTATGGATACTTTCCTTTATAACATACTCAAGAACTCGTGAAACTTTCTCACGTACACGCATATTTTTTTACCCGTAGACTAGAAGGTGCATGCATTTCTCAAATGAATCCTTTGAAATAAACAATTTGATTTTTTTTGTTATTTGAAATGGCACGCTTTTTTTTTTATTAGATATTCAAAATTCATTTGATATGTAAATATATATATATATATATATTTACGTTATTTAATTTAAAATGTGACGTTTGTATTATTATGTTCGAACAAGTCATATGGTATACAATGATAATCAGATATTTTATTATGCATGAGATGTGAAGTATAAAAGTTATGGTTGCATAAATTGCAATTGAATGCATAGATTATAATTATATTTACAATTAATAACATGTCAAACATTTTATTAAATATTACGTATGGTTGTTACAGGAAACAGAATTGAAACTAATTAGATATTCAGATATTTGTCAGAATCAACATTCATAATAGGTAAGTTTTAATTTTATTATATTTACTATATATATATATATATGTATATGTTGAGAATGCATCAGTAAAAGTGTAGAAAAAAAAAGATACAATGTGAAATTATAATTTGAAAGCAATTTCACAGAAGTATTTTCTTTTGTTATAGATTGGAAAGTAGAGTGTGGAAATGGAGAGTTCCGAAGAGCCAACCAGTTTGCAATCAATTTGTCACCTGCATGCATCAGAGTTATTTCCAAAACATCCACATTTCGAATGCGAAGATCAGACATTGACTGTACCGTTTACTCTTTTAAGTGGAGAATCATTGGTAGCATTGGGACGCATATCGGATGGTGGTGTTTTGGCTCTTTCTAATTATAGACTCTACTTACAACAGAGTCAAGCCTGTTACAATATACCATTGGGCCTTATTGAACAATTAGAAGTAAAAGAAATATTCTTTTTGCATATTGGATGTAAAGATGCACGGTCATTGAGGTATAGTTTATACATTGATTTATACATCAACGTGTACATCAATGTTATTGTTACAATTCAATTTAATATTACTCGTCATAGACTTATGTAATTGTTTAAAACAGGACAATATATTTTTGATAATTTTTTAGCTGTTCATTTTCCACTAACGAGCATTGTCTAGAATGGTTCAAACGATTACATAAAGTAACATACCCACGTAAAAGTATCGAAGACATATTTTCTTTTGCATATTATGCATGGTCTATAGAAGAGGGTAAAGACTATCCTAGGCTTGGAAAAGATAATAGTTCTTATATTTCTACTTTTAATTCAGAGGTAAATTTCAATTCACATTTAATATGATATCAATCTAATTATAATTTAATATTTGTGAATAACGTATAATAATTTTTTCTATGCAATTATAAAGGTGGAACGATTAAAATTTAATCTTCATGGTACATGGCGTATTAGTCCGATAAATAAGGATTATAGAATGTGCCCATCTTATCCACCACAACTTTTGGTTCCTGCTTGCATTTCTGATGAAACTTTGGAAATTGTTGCTAAATTCAGAAGTTCCAGACGAATTCCTGCAGTTGTGTGGAGGTAAAATAACAAAAACCATTTTCCAATATAATTGAATTTAATGTATCTTATAATAAAAAAAAAAAAATGAATATTTCAAGGCACGTTAATAATGGAGCAGTGATAGCTCGTAGCAGTCAACCAGAAGTTGGTTGGTTAGGTTGGAGAAGTTCCGAAGATGAGGATCTTTTAAAAGCTTTGTCTGATGCATGTTCCTACGACAAAGGAGAATCCACAATGGTTGATTCACCTATTAATTATTCTGATGTTGGAGATGATGCGATAACTCCAACTGTTGCAAAAGTTAATATCAATTTTACTTAAGAAAATAATCTAAATCTTTTAAAATGATATACATTATGAAAAATTTCTTTTATAGAAAGTTTTAATCGTGGATGCAAGATCTTACACGACAGCTGTAGCAAATAGAGCACGAGGCGGTGGTGTTGAATGTCAAGAGTATTATCCAAGTTGTGATATTCAATTTATGAATCTGGCAAATATACATTCTATTAGGAAAAGTTTTCACGCAGTCAGACAATTATGTGCATCTGATGCTGATCAACCAAAGTGAGTTAATTAAATAATAAATAAATGTAAATTATTTTCTAATGATTTAACAATGTGCGGATTATTTTAGTTGGTTGAGCTTATTGGAAGGTACTAAGTGGTTACAACATATGTCAGGTTTATTGCGTGCTGCAGTTACGGTTGCATCTGCCATAGAACGAGATGGACGACCAGTATTAGTACATTGTAGTGATGGCTGGGATAGGACACCTCAGATTGTTGCCTTAGCACAGATATTATTAGATCCCTATTATCGTACTATAGAGGTAAGATTTATATATAGAATATTTTTTATATTTATTATTGAATACATGAACAATTTTGATATAATGTAGGGATTTCAAATATTATGTGAGAGAGAATGGTTAGACTTTGGACATAAATTCGCTGATCGCTGTGGACAAACAGTTGGTTGCGATGACCCAAATGAACGTTGCCCAGTATTTTTACAATGGCTCGATTGTGTACATCAGTTAATTCGACAATTTCAATGTAGTTTTCAAATGTCTCCTGCATATCTTGTAAGTAAAACAATATTTATGTAAAGCATAAAATAAAGATTAATATATATATTTAATTGATGTGTTCTAGGTAAAATTAGCACAGCATACATATTCACAACTCTTTGGTACATTTTTATGTAACACAAGACAGGAGAGATTACAGTTAAGAATACAAGAACGTACTTTTTCAGTATGGCGATTTCTTAACTCTTCTTTATTTGTTAATCATTTGTATTCACCTTTAAGAAATCAAGTATGATAGTTTCTTATTTTTTATATTTTAAATCTATATATGTGTAACAAATAGTTTAACATACTTTTATGTCCATTACGTTTACTAATTAAAATTTGTATTTTTTTTTTAGGTATTATGGCCAAGTTGTAATGTACGAGATCTTGTTTTGTGGTCAGAAGTATATTTAGGTTCTATGGAATCCTCACTTGGTATTAGGGATGATCAACAAAGAGTTACAATGATAGATATAGAAGGAGGTGAAAGTGAAGAACCACAAGGACAAATGACTAAAACACGTTCTTATGGAGATCTTATACATGCCCCCGATCATGCAGCCTACCTTCACCGCAGACTTAGCGATCCGAGTATTTCTATGGAAAAGTAAGTAGTTATTTAAATAGGTATTTGTGTGGAGATACATTTCATTTACATATATATATATATATATGATAATATAATGATTTTAATAATAATTTTACTTATAGAAAATTTGATTCGTTAAATTTGGAAGTTGAGGCTGAAAAAATAGTAAATAGCATAGATGATAGCAAATTTGAAACATTAGAAGCAGATCCATCAGAGACTGACATTAAGACCAAACAGTATACTACAGTGCAAGCATCGAGCGAATCACCTGCTAATCCATCAGTGGATAGTTCTACAGATACATTAATACCTAATAACGATTCACTTGTTAGTGTTGTAAATGGAGAGAAAGAAGCGTAAGTTTTAGAAAAAAAATGTGAACATTTTGTTGGAAGTATGATTGTATTAAATGTAAATATAAATATTTGATTTATTTATATCAATTACAGATTGCAAACAAATTTAGGACAAGATAGTATTTCACCGTGGATTGAAACTGGTACAGCGGGACGAGGTACTTGTTCCTGTAATCGTAATCACAATGAAGGTAGTGATGTCAGTGATACCAGTGCTCCATTGATATCAAGAACACCAAGTAGCATATGTCCAGCTTCCCCAACTCATCAGGATGCTATATTAGATAATCCTGATAGACTGGATGATGTCGATGGTCTTCCTGTCATTCATTGTGAAATTCAGTTACGAGTACAACAGATTATCATCGAACACAAGGTACATAAACGAGCAAGAAAACAAAAGATCAATTTTTAATTGTACAGTCATTTGTCATTGATTTAAGCCAGGCATGAGCTACCTTTACAATCAAATTTTTTATTACATTTTTTTATTTTTATTTTTATTTTTTTTTCATTCATATATAAATCGATTAAAATATTTTTTTTTTGTTTTGTTTTTTTTTTCTAGAAATTGTATCAACGAAAGTAAATTAACATTTGCCACGTTATTGATTTACGATTGATAAATGTGTTCTTGCAAGGGTCATAATGTTTTTAACAATTTTTTAAAAAGACATAAAAAAAAAAACATGAGTCTTCATTATTTAATCTTATTGTAATTGGAAAAGGAAGAAAATTATAATTGATATAAGTTTTATTATTTAGAGAGAAAAAAAAATTAGACTTCATTCGTAAATTGAATGTTGGTTGCCCATGACTGACTTAAATATAATAAAAAATCATAAGTTTTTATAAAAAAAACAAAAAATCAGTTTTTTAGTTGACTTATTTTCAAACCACCCTTCTTGAATATTGTAATGAAAGTTGCTGTGTGCCTGTTTCTTTAGCTAAAGGAAGAAGCATTACGAAAGGAATTACATACAACAAGGCTAGCATTAATTAAGCAAGTGTGCAACCACAATGCAGATACCGATCGTATTGATGATATTGTAAGTCTAGTATTAAGATTAAATGTTTAAAGTGGCTCCAGGCTTATTTAATTTGTATGGTATTTCTTTATACAGAAAGTATGTTACTGAAATTTAAACTGTATGGATCGCCTGTTGAATATTATATACCGTGTAGACATTTATTTGAAGATTTTCAAGAAAGAAGCTTGCATTTTGTCAATCCGATTATTGATATAGGTTTTATTGAATGTCATTGTGTTGATCCTGCTATTTACGTCACACTTGTTTTCTTGCGATCCATTTTTCGGAATGTTACTAACAGGTCAATAGTTATGAGGCATTGCATATTTAATTTATATATTTCTGTTCCAAATATCGAGAGAGTGCAGTAAGGTGTTTAAATATATTTAAAAAATGATAAGCAATTAATTGTTGGGTTACAGGGTTCATTGCCAGATTCGGTAGGCAGTGCTGGAGAACATGGAGAATCCTTACCATCGGATATGTCTTGGGAGGCCGTTGAGGACTTGGTACCAGCTCCAACACTTTGGGTTCCAGATCATGCAGTAAATCGTTGCATGGGATGCAATACAGAATTTTGGCTTGGTAGACGTAAACATCATTGCAGGTATGTAATAATATATATTTGTAACAAGTATGGAAATGAAAGGAAAAATATGAACAAACAATATCTAAATTGTAGATGCTGCGGCAAGATATTCTGTGCGGATTGTTCGGAAAATTCAACGCCGTTACCCAGTGAACAACTTTATAATCCTGTAAGAGTTTGCAAAGATTGCTTTTCTCGACTTCATCATCATACAAGTCCTTGCCAGTGCAGTGCTCGACATCAGAATAAAGTAGATCACGAAACGGATATATCATCTAACTCAGAAACGTTGGTGACTTACCAAAGGGCAAAACCTATTTCTATGACAAAAGATACCTGCTGTGACAACTTAATGCAGGCTGCTCATCAGAAATCACAACCGTCTATTACAGCAGGTACGGTAAATTGAGCGTTTAGTTTGATATAACGACTGGTAAATGCAGTTTGGGTTTTCTCAATTTCAATAATGCCGAGCATTATCTGTTTCCGATTGGTAATAACATTGCTATCGGATTTATACATAATTTGTATCGTATACATAAATGAGATATACGCGTTGTTGACGCGTTAGGATTCTTTAAGTGATCTAATATTTATTGCTAGAGTAATAATTTGTACGAAAAGTGTATAGCAGTAAAAAAAAAAAGAAAAAAAAGAAAAAAATAGAAAAAAAGAAAAAAAAACAACAGAGAGAGTCGTCAGTATACGAAGCTGTATATATACCTATACAAATTTTGGCTTCTTTCAATGAAATTCTTCGAGTTTTCCGTTTTTAGGTATATCGATACGGTAGTAGAGCAAGAGAGAGAGAGAGAGAGAGAGAGAGAGAGAGAGAGAGAGAGGAGAGGGAGGGGGGAAAAGAGAAAGGGAGAAAAAAAGAGAGAGAGTGAATGAAGATGAGGCATGTTTTGGATAGGCTGTGACTGATGTCTAATTTTAGGCAATAGGCGGGATATACTGCTAATTAACAATCTCTCTATTGTGTAATTAATTAGCAGTCGGATTAAGTTACGACGAAAACTGTATTTGTATATTGTCGCCGTGTATGAGAATTGGAATATTAAATGTCATCGTGGTATCTCACCGCATTTGTATAGTGCCAACACTTTTTTTTTTTTTTTAGATGTATCCTTCTTCCTTTTCATCTTAAAATGATGCGAAGAGAATTTGGAAAATATTAAATATCGGTTAATCTATATAATATACATTTATACAGAGTGCATATATATTATATATATATATTTATCGGGCAATAGATCCACTGTAATTAGCGATTTTCGAACACAACATTTTTACATGAACGTAAAACGTATTATATTACACGGGGACATTCCAAACATATATTTCATCCATCATTACATTTATTATTATTATAACAGGTGGGTAAAACGGCAGATAAATAGTTCTACAAAACAACGGACGAGGCGGTTAAATCTATGAACTACTGTAATATGGATAAATATTATATATGTGTATATCAGTGCATAAATTAAAAGTGGACAGAATATTGTATTTATATAAACTATTTGTATAACTGCCGCATGCCTATATTTATATAATTACCGTACGCCTATTTAATTGTCTTGTCCTGACAAATGGACACCGAATTGTACATTGAGCTTCATTTGACTCTATTGAAACGTTCAAAGTTTTATTCAATTTATTAATTAAACGAGGATGTCAATTATTGTTTATGTAATATTTACTCTTAACGTATGTAAAAAAAAAAAAAAAACTGAAAAAAAAGAAAAGAAAATGGAAAAAGAAAACAAAACTATAAGAAAATTATGTTTGATTAAATGCATTTTGTCTGATCGCTGTGAGATTGCTGAGAGTCGAGACGTTTTTCAACATTTGTGTAGCATTTTTCAAGATGTTATCAACATTGTCTTTCGTATTATCTTCCTTTTGAAATTGTATGAGAATTACGAGATACGTCGTAACCGCGCTGGCAATCTGAAACATTGGTAACAGTTATAAATTATTGAATTATGAGTAAATATCGATAAGATCTATCTAGTTTTGCAGAATTCGTGAAATAAGAAGAAGAGTCGAATGAAAATAAGCCTAACAATATTCACTTTTCCATGTTGTATATCGCTCACCGAAGTGAAAAGGGATCTATCTAAGGAAAAAAGTCCACAAGCAGTAAAGTCCAAAGGTCGATGCAGTAATTGAAGTGAAAAAATTTCCAAGTGTTTCTTACATTCCGCGTTTGGATTAGAAGAAAGCAATTGGCTAACGAGAATGGCCGTCTTTTTTGCCTGTAAAAAAAAAAAAAAAAGAAAGGAGAATTGAACTTTTTCAAATTATAAACTAAACATTGTGTTGTTAAAATTCCGACAATATCGATCGGGACAATAAAAAAAATAGTTCACCTGAACGACAGCAAAATATGCCGGTTGTATGATTATAAACATTCGCGCGATGTGTAAGATACTCCACATAGATTGAATTATCAGATACAACAATTGACGACCTCCACTGATCTCTACTATTAGAAAATATGGTGTAATAATCAGATGTAAGAGACAGGAGAGTGTAACCACTAGCATGACAAGACCAAAAGAATTATTTATAAAAGAAACCGTGTCGCATAGAGACGAGTGCACCGTCACCAATTGTGCTATGTTATTTGCAAAATTCTTCGTTTCTAAACAAAAGGATATAATATGATGGTAAGTTTCTTTTCATTAGAGTTATTTCATAATCAAGTATTATTTATATATTAATTTACCAAATCCAACAGGGTTCCATTCCAAAGTTTTGGATATACGAATGTACGAAGCTGGTTGTTCACGATTTTGAAAATCACCAGCTGTGTTAGCATTGACAACAAAAATATTATTATCGTATATATATATATATATATATAGATTATGTTCTTTTAAATTACGCTACACGAGAGATTAGTATTTTTAAATTATTATCACGAAAAAAAAAAATGAAAGGAGAAGTATAATAATTGGTACACACCCAAGCCAAGATCTTTCCTAAAATGATCGGTCACTTTGCCTGACTTCACAATACCTTCGAGACATTTATTAAGTCTCACAAATCTTTCACTCACGTTGTATGTGATAATACTATATTGGATTTCCAATGCAACGATAATCATATACATGATATAAAGTGGCATGTAGTTGATTGCACCTTTGTTCTTCATTTTTTTATTAGTCTTTGAATCGCGATTCCACCAATACGTGTCGAGACCCGAAATAATCATGATGTAGGTAAGAGCGCAAGTAACTAGGATAATGGTATATCTTCGGGTTTTCTTCGGTGCAATGATACCCAACGTTTCGTCGATCTAATAAAAGAAGAAGAGAACAATTTGTAAAGCATACATATATAAACTTCATCTCATGATAAAAGATTCCATCGATTTACCTCAGCTAAATTGTTAAGAATAATCTGCCCGTTTTTCCAACGAAATGGTGAACCTAATATAGCAATAGTAGCTTGTATTATTACACCAAGTATATCGCTAGCAGTTGGTATTACAGCTGAACGAGATTTTAATCTTGTACTGTTTACCCAGCCATCTTTCATTTCTCGCCATAGACCCCAAGCTTCTGCACCCATGATAACTCCAAAAAGAAATATGCTAAAGAAAAATGATGAAAGGACAATTGATTTATTTGAAAAATCATTCTAAAAGTTTCAATTTTACCTGTAAATTACATCGATAATTTCTAAACGACATTGATATCGGTCATGCGCTTGTTTCGTGAAACGTACTGGACATAAACCAAACACCTTGCTGATATGATAAGCAGGAAAAAGGGCTTGAAAGAGATCGCTGTTAACTATAGGTTTGTTGATTTCCATTCCATCATTTTTAATATCGCTCACTTTAATGGTTCCTCGTTTTCCTAAAAATTCAATTATTTTAGATCACTTAGATTTAATTAAAACAAAAAACAAAAAATTGTTCAAGTAAACCAACTTACTGTGTTCACGTTTGTTCCATCGCCCGGGCATCCTATTATTTATAGTAATTTCTTCAGGTATAGCAGCAGGTTTTCCCGGTAAAATATTTTCCTCGTAAGTAGTATTATCATAAAATTCTTTTTTTATCAAAAAATACATGTTTGTTCGTTTGTTTATTTAAAAAAAATTTTCTTTTTTCTTTCTTTCTTTTAATCTTTACAGAGAGAAAATATTAAATTACATCGTTGAATATTGATTATAGTAGTAATGTATTTTGATCATCTGTACTATTCAAAGATTATAGTTTTGCAATAACCGAAATAGGCTCTTTCTCTTTTTTTTTTAAAACATGTGTGAACTAGAAAGAACGTCTTTTTACTGTAAGAAATACTGATGAGAAACGAACCTCTACGTATATCGTACTGCGAGTTTTATTGTATCGCTTGTTGTGTCCATCCATTCGCGTCAGATCGTCAACGGATAATTATTGTTGTTGAACGAGTGGCTCTTCAGTGCGATGGCTATCCTTCGAAAACATTTATATACGATGTTTGTGTTAGTGGGTGGACGCACATAGAATAAAAATTCTTGTAAAAGTAAGTACATAAAGTTTTTTTTTTTTTTATGTTATATACGTAGCATGTGTATGTACGTGTTAATAACACATTGAATGTTTCCTTAACTATAGATGTTTATTTTTCTCTATAATGTTTTATTCGATTCGATCATCTCCTTTTAATCATATTGTTTGCAATTTTGTCTTCTTCTTTTTCTTCTTCTTCTCTTCTCTTTTTTATAAAATAATTTCTATAATTATTATTCGATATAAAAAAAAACAATTGGAACATTTAGCGCAAACGCGCTTTTCAAATCACCTTTTGAATATTCATTCAAAGGGGTACAAAATTATTATTACAATAATCAAACGGCGTACCTTTGCTAAAAAGGTACACACTTAAGTTGAATAAACAAAGTAACTTCGATCGCGTACCAATCTATATACAATTTCCGATGAAATAGATTGATATATCTTCTGTAATTATATGTTGGGATGTTCCCCATCGACTTGATATATTATTTCTATTGAGCGTATCATATGTGTATATAACATATACGAAACATCTCATTAGTTTCTTTATTTTTTAATGAAGTATTTTTTTTCTCTCTCTTGTTATTTACCACGTCTCTGTGTATACAGACATGATTTATTTCGATTTTTTTTTTTTCTTTTATATTATTCGCACTTATGTTTACGTAGGACGTTAAATTTACCCTAGATTTGTTGATTGTCAAGTCACTTTTTCATTGTTCTTATCTACTTCGTCGTTTGATTCATCGATGAATCTTCACTTGTAGTTGTATTCTGTTTAAATAAGAAATTACGAGTCAAAACTCATATATACATACAACAATTGATCGATCATTTCAAATCACTAATGTATAATTTAATTAGAATGTTTTCAAACTTTGATGGGGCTGATACCAATTTTTGAAAATGGTCATTTTTCGCGCTCTTTTTTTTTTAACACGACTCAAATAAATACTTCGAAAATTTCTTATCTAATTAACCAAAAAAAAAAACGAGTTATAAATTGATATAGTTGTAGCATTGTATATGTGTGAATAATATATAATTTAATCAATAAATTTAATCAACAGAATTACGATTAAAATCTTATATTTATTCGTTAAATAAATCATATGTTGATTTTCTTATCGGCGCGTTTAAAATCAGCGCCATCTATAGAATAAATATTTGTTAAGCACTTTTTAAGTATTACCATTCATTCCGTTTCATTTAATTTTTGATAATATCAGTAAAAGTATGTATGACCTATAGTTTGTTGTTTTGACTTTTAATATTCATCGAACTCCGCATTCATGTTATTTCTTTTTTATATTTATACACATATATATTTTTGTAGGTGTATTTATACGAACATTTGTTTATTTTCAATAATCAACCAGTTGCATTGACTAATGTTGTACGTGATGTATAAATTCATAATGTTTATTTGAAGTGGTTATATTCATTTTTATAAACAATTGTTAATACCTGTATTATTATAAATTGACATTTATCAATTTTTATAAACTTGTGTCATAACACAGTGATTCAAAGTGTTATCTCGTATATTTAATTCTTTTTATTATCAAGAATAAATGATGTGTATGTAAAACATAACCTCAATGTTAGAATATAGTAATAGTTTTCTTCAAAAATAATTACGGAATTATAGTGAGAATTGACATATAATTATGGAAAGAAACGAAGAAGAGTGGTCTGTTGAATGTTCAGATGAAGAAAAATATGAAGTTGATTCTAAAGTAAGATATTTATGTATGTTTTTAAGTTAACCTTAGTTACTACTATTTAGTTATCTAAATTTACATATGTTCAGTGTTATAAATTTGTAAACATTTATGTGCAAGTTAATTGAATATGATTATTTATTTTATAGAGTGAATGGACGTTAAAGTCAGAAGACATACTTTCTTTAATCGATGGCTTAGAAAGTAATCGTATATTGGAGCTCGAATGGAAATGTCCTGGTAGAAGAGGTCCATCTCCATCACCTTCCAGTAATCGACAGCAAGAACATGGTTCCCAGGAATATAAGTAATTTAAATATAATCTCTTGTTTAATAAAACAAATTCTTATTATTACATTGTAACTGTTATTTAATGTATGAATTTGTTTTGTAGACCTGAAGAAAAGTCAGACTTTGATTTCATGGATGAAATGTCATCGCCTAGATTACCAGTACGAAGAGTAGGAGAAAGTACTCCTAAAGGTAGTGCGAAGAAGAAAACAGCCAGTTTTAATGGTGTTCTATCAACAATGTTACGCCATCGTAGATTGGAACAACAAGAAATCAATTCCAGTCCTAAGAAAAGTGAACCTAATTCACCAAGTTTGAAAACTCAACCGACTTAACATTATCCTTTATACGAGGAAAATACTGACATTGATACAAACGCATATTATATTTCCAAGATATGGGAAAAATGAGAGAATGTTTATTTTTTTCACATATAAGGTCATTAATACGAAGATTATATATTGTATATGAGTACAATATGAATATCGAAATTGATCGGTAATAATTCTTAAAGTAAATCTTGTATTTACTAACCTGATGAAAGGTACTTTTTATTATCCTCTATGAGGGTACAATTTAATTATATTTGATAGATCAAGATGAAAATAGATAGATCAAGATTAAAATCTCTTATATATTTTCGTTTATCTGTTTTAAATTAATCATATCTAATTTCTATATTAATTTATTTTTACTTGAAATCAATTGAATTAAATATAATGTGTGAATAGGATAGGGTAATGATGCACGATGCATAATTTTAATCAACAGAATCATAGTATTTTCTTTTTTTTGCATATAAATCTTTAAAATATTATTTGATATATATATGCCGATTTTAAACATATATCTAATATCATAGAACTTCTTTATACATTTTTATATCTACATTTACATATAACTTACAATTTAAATTTAAATATATATATATATATTGTACAAAAGTACTTAGAAAAAATGATGTGTTATTGTAATATAAATCTAATGATTTGTAAACAAATTGCTACGTTGTATTTATTAATCTTTATTGAAAGTTAATGTATAGAAATTGACTTTTCGTTTATATATATCATCAATACGTAAAAAAAAAAAGATTAAGTACATTTAGTATCTTCGCTCTCTCGAATATCAGCAGCCCAAGCAGGAAAATGGTTGATGTCGTAGATGTAGGCACCCCATGTTGAAAATACAAGTAGTTCAACTAATAAACTGTAAATAGAAGGCATACATCCTCCGAGTATTAACCATTTAGTTGGAATATGACCTGCGACTGCTATGAGAGCATTTGGAGGAGTACCAACTGGTAATCGAAATGAAAATGAGCACATTAACGTAGCTGGTATCATTAAGTACATCGGATGTAGTTCCATAGCTATAGACTGTCAATATAATATAAATTTATGTAACACAGAGATGAGATATAAAATGTAAGATAAAATATCGTACCATTTGAGCAATAACTGGTAATGTTATATTGGCAATGCCGACGTTGGACGTAAATTCTGTAATTATGCCGATGAATAAACAAACGAATGCCATTACAATAATTGGTGGTAAATGTCGAAGTGGTACAAGAACGTGACCAACTCTGTGGGCTAAGCAAGATTCAACACTTCCTTTAGCAATAGCAAAACCGCCACCCAGTAAAAATATCAAACTCCATGGCATTTTAGTTTCAATGACTTTCCAAGTTATCAAACCCTCCGATGATTTGATCGGTCTTTTGGCAGCTACATGATGTACAATTAATTATATTACATATTTATATTTTTAGTCATTTAAATTATGCTTACGATCTTTACTCCAGGAATGAATGAAAGCAGGCTCTTTTGGTATGAAAAACATAAGAATCGAAGCAAATATAACTGGCGTAGAATCTTTTATATCTCTGTAAAGATAATCAAATAATAAATTAGCATAAACGATCGAATATTATTAGATACATACATATCTGTTATAACTTCGGACCATCCACGAATAAAGCCAGGTTTTCTAAATACCCATAAGAAAATACACATTATAAATAATGTAGTAACTCCGATTTCGTGAAACGATATAGGACCTAAATTTGTATATCGTGTTTTAATGACCTGCGAAAGTTATATTTTATAGAAATAAATGAATATTATCGTTAATTTCTGATAATTATATAACTGCATATTATATTATACAATATATAATTGTAATTGGATTTACATTGTTCGTGATTTCTTCGCCTTCTGGACCTATTGTAGCTGCCAAAGCATCCTTACTTTTTGGTCTTAAGTATCCCAAATATGCTATTCGTATGTAGATCCAGGTGATAAACGAATTGACGATCATTTGTGGAAACGAAGCTATCAACCAGTCGGTGAAATTGATACCATTGGAAGAAGGGAAGGTGCTCTCATAAATTCCTTTGAATGTAAGATTCGTTCCGGTACCAACGAGAGTTCCCGTTCCACCGAAAGTGGAAGAATATGCGATGCATAAAAGATAACCCACTGTGATCTTCGATGGTCTCAATATTCTGCAAGAAAAAAATGTATATATGTAAACAGGAAGAAAGTTTGAAAAAGTTAAGTGAATATATTGCTTACTGTTCATTGGGATTTTCTGGGTCAGGTACCGTTATGAACACCTTACCAAATCCAGCCTGTAGAGTAGTAGTAGGAAGGATAATAAATTCATTGGCACTTATACCAATTATAAGATCAAGAAGTCACAGACCTCTTCCAATTCTTGAAGGATGGCGAAGATAATAGGTAACATCATAGCCGTCGCAGCCGTGTTCGAAACCCACATGGATATGAACGTGGTGACTACACAAAGACCACCAAGTAGACGGGCATGACTACAGCCGACCATTTTCATTACACCAAGGGCGATTCTGAGATGCAAATTGGAATGTTCGATCGCTACAGCGAGTATCAAGCCACCTATGAAGACCATGATTGTATCGTTCATGTAACAGGCACATGTTTCAGCTGTACTAAGTAAACCAAGAAAGGGGAAGAGAATAATAGGCAACATTGCAGTGATTGCCATGGGGAATACTTCTGATATCCAATATCCAGCCATTATTAATATAACGAAAGCACATCTGCTTTCCTACAATTGAAATTATATTTGAAAAGATTGAATTTTTCTACACGACGATGTATTCATATTAAAATAATACCGAACAATCGTAAATGATCATAAATGGTAATAGAAATGAAGGCCAAAGAATAGCGAAAATGGTTTTCCAATAAGTTTTTAGGAAGTACAGTGTCCTTTTTCCATAAGTAACGTCTTCAACGACAGTTTCTCTATATATATATATATATAAAAGACGATTAAAAATTAGTTCAATTTTCATTGAAGATTATTCATAATTCGATAGATTCATTTTTTTTTTTTACTGACTCCTCTCTTTCATCTTCTTCGGCCATTTAATTGCGATATTTTTGTTAATATAAGAAGCAAATTTTTAAAGAACCGACGAACAAGCTTGTATCACAAAATAGCAAATTATCGTATACTTTATTTTCACGTATTTATTTAACAAACTTCATATTGGAATGTTTTATACATATTATGCTGTTATTCAATTTTTTTTCTTTTTTTTGTTTTTTGACTCATATTATGCTTAATGAATTAACTCGAAGAAATTTTCATTAGTTAGTCCGCATACGTGATATGCATCCAAAGTTCAAACATCTAAATTTAGTCGGCCTAGAATCTTGAAAAGGGGGCTGGATAAGGTCGCGTTTCTTTCTATCTGATGGAGAGAAGACGACGACGACGACGACGACGACGAGGACGATGGAAGCATTTGGTTCGACCTTAATGACGTCTCTTCAAGCAAGACAGGGAGCAGTGCCTGCGGCGGTACTGATTGCGCTCTTTTCATTGTCCGAAATACCTTCAGTACTTTAGCCAACTTATATCTACCATCTTTGCCATTTCTTAGTTTGACTCTTTCATTCTTTAGTTAAATAATAATAATAATAAGAAAAAGAGGAAGAAGAAGAAGAAGAAGAAGAAGCAAAGAAAATGAATGGAATAAATAAAAAAATGAAAATGATAATCTTTCTATAATAATTGGTTATATTAATTGTAAAAATAATCATCTCAAATAATTTGAAATATTTATCAAAATAATTGTTATCTTACGTTTTGTACCAATTGTCAATAAAATAATGTTATAAACGCGTTTTAATGACACGAAATAATTTTTATTATAATATATATTTCAATTGATATTATTAACAAGAAAATAATCTCGACGAAATTGTAGATGCATTACGATTACAATACTGTCTTGTCTTTTTTTTTTTTTCGTCATGATTTGAATGATTTTTTGTATGAAAATTAATCGCAATGTCTGCTGATACTTGCATTGACTTTTCTATCCGCCCATTCTGGAAAATCGTCGATGCCGAAAACGTAGGATCCCCAAAGTGGAAAGACGAGTAGTTGTATGAGCAAGCTATATATCGCAGGCAAACATCCGCCGACGAGTAATACTGACGTTCGCATGTGAGCCGCGATCGATATAATTGCGTTTGGTGGAGTGCTGACTGGTAATCGAAATGCATAGGAGCACGTTATTGTCACTGGTACCATCAGATAAAGAGGATGTACCCTCATCGCTGTAGACTGTAACAATAACGTTATGGCGACGTGCGTCGTTATCGTTTCAGTATTGTTCTTATCAAATTGATTTTTCATAGTAATGTGTGGTTACTCGAAAATTTCATGCCGATTTATCAATAATATATATGTCAATCAAAATTTGAAACATTATTAAACCCGTTAAGGAACAATTTTGGTTCAACGTAATATAACACTGCTCGAGTTAACTCGAGCTTGTAACTTAAGGGGTTAATTTGAAATGAATTTTCTTGACACATGGATATGTAAAAATTAGCATCAATTTTTTCGGTTAAATCTGAATATTATTTAATCAAATTTACCATATGTGCTATTATTGGTATAATAATATTTCCAGTTCCAACGTTTGAGGTCACTTCCGTTAGAGTACCGACGAATAACAAAACTACTGCCAATAACGGCAGAGGGTGTAAAGTTTGTAACGGTAATAAGGATCGACCTAGTCTTATAGCCAGACAGGATTCATTGCTAGCCTTGGAAATGGCAAATCCACCACCTAGAAGAAAAACCAATCTCCACGGCATCTTTCGTTTAATCACGTTCCAAGTTATTAAACCTTCGGATGGACCCCATGGTCTTTTTTGGGCTGTTTAAACACAACTAATTAATTATCTTTCATTACATAGTGTTGTGATATCATCTGATTGATATATATGCTCACGATCTCGGCTCCAAAAGTATATAAAATTGGGATCTCTAGGGATGTAAAACATCAACAAGCAAATGAAAAGTGCAGGTGTTGAATCCTTGATCTCCCTATTCGATTAAAAATATAATAAATACAAAAATTCTTTAATAATTATTTTACAAACAATTCTTACACGTTTGATATAAGGTCCGCCCAGCCTGTAACAAATCCAGGAGATCTGAATACCCATAGAAATATACAAGTTAAAAAAAGTACCGATACAGCGATCTCATGGAAGGACATTGGACCTATTTGTTTTAGTTTTTCTTTGATCACCTAAGAATATCGCGAATGAAATTTGATATCATTTATATTTTTTTTTTAAATAATTTTTGTGTGAAATAAATTTAAATTCACTTGATTGGCTACTCTCTCGCCTTCCGGACCAATTCTCGCAGCTTCGGCATCTTTGCTCTTTGGTCTTAGAAATCCAAGATAAACTATTCGAAGATGCAACCACAAAATGAAGGAATTGAGAGCCATTTGTGGAAAACAAGCTACAGTCCATGTGCCAAATGTAATTGGTTCCGCTTCGGGAAATGTATATTCGAAGATTCCTTTGAAGACAAGATTTGTTGGTGTACCAACCAAAGTTCCAGTTCCCCCAAATGTCGAGGCGTACGCTGCCGCGAAAAAATAAGCTTTTGTCACGTTCGTTGGTTTTAATTCACTGAAAAAAAAAAAAAAAGAAGAAAATGTCATTTAGTTTAGAGTATTTTTGAAACAACCAACCTGTTCCTATTTTCATTCAATTTAGGATAATTTTACGTACGGATCGGCATCGGGTTCCTCTGGATCTATTTTAACGTAGAATACTTTTCCTAGTCCTTGCTGTGCCAATATAACAAAAAGATAATAATTAAACAAAAAAAAAAGAGTTAGGATAATATTATTATTATTATTATTATTATTATTAAAAAAGAGAAGAGGAAAAAGAACCCTTTCCAATTCGTAGAGAACGGCAAATACAATGGGCACCATCATCGCAGTGGTTGCAGCATTCGCGATCCACATTGATATAAAAGTGGTTACGGTACAGAGACCACCTAGAAGTTTTGTGTGGCTACATCCAAGCATGTTCATGACCAAGAGAGCTATTCTCATATGCAGGTTGCAATGTTCCGTCGCAAACGCAAGGATCAAACCACCCATGAAAATCATTATGGCATCGTTCATGTAGCAATACACGGTCTCAAGTGTACTCATTATTCCAAAGATTGGAAAGAGAACGACCGGCATCATGGATGTAATGGGTACAGGAATAGCCTCGGTCACCCAATATCCTGCCATTAATAAAACGACGAATGCACATCTGACCTCCTGACAAAAAACAATACACATGTCAATTAAAATAATAAGATTTTTAACGGAAATTGACTTTCTTCTTATAATTAGGTTATAACTCATATACTAAATTTAGGATTAATTTGAAATACCTGACAATCGTAAATATACAGAAAAGTTGTTAAAAATAGAAACCAAATTATAGCAAAGATTGATCGCCAATATAATTGAAAAAAGTTACCGGTGTTTATCCAGAATTCTTTTTTCTGAGAGCTAAGAAATAAATGATTATATTACAATTATAATATAAATAATTTAATGTGTGTGGGTTATATAATAAAAAAGATAAATATAATAACTTTTGTTCTTCATCATCTACCACGAAATCGTTTTCTCTTTGAGCCATTTATTTAGATTTCAAACAAGTTCGTTCGTTAGATTTTATTATACGAAGATCATCTGTCTCCCATATTGATTTTTTCTTCATATAAATGATACGATATATATCGATTTTATTTAGATAGTTTTCTTGCAATCAATTTCATTCGTGTACAATTATTTTTATTATTGGTAGAATTAAAAATATAAAAAACGATTTAGAAAAAGGTGTCTTATGGTGGGAGGAGTGGGGGAGATGTGTGGGAGAGAGTGGGGATGTGTTAGAGTAGTAAAAAGGTTGAGAAAGGTAGTGGGGAGTGACTATTCAAAAGTATTTTCATAGAGGACAAGGTATCAGTCTGAAGGTGAATTTCGAAGAGGACGGTACGTATAATTTATACACTATACTTTTAGACTGTAATATACATTTATTTTGATTTATTAATAATTATTTATGATATATTAAACAATCTAATGTATTGTAATAATATTTATAATTGTTTAAACGTATATATATATATTTGTTTAAATATTAAAAAACAATTTTACGTAGTTTTGTAACAAAATATATATAAATATATATTATTACCTTATACCGCCATCTGTTAGAATCTTATCGAACAAACAGAAATAATCATAACTCTTTGTTAATAATCAAATAATTCGCGATTAATAAAATAATATTGCAATTATAAATTGAGATATAAACTATCCTATCTTTCAAGTTGGATGAAAAACTGCACACAGTGTGTAAAATTTTATTCAAATCGGTTCAGTAGTTTACGAGTCCATTGCGGACAAACAACGTGACACGTAATTTATATATATATATATATATATTATATTATATTTTTCATATCATCACAATTATAATAATATTATAAAACAAATCACATAAAAGTAAATATTATTTTTAATTCATTGTCTGAATTATCAAATACGTGTGTACGTAGACATTTGCAAATTTTTCAATTAACGTTAATTCGTGAAATCATTTGACAACAAAAAAAAAAAAAAGAGAATCTTTTATTTAGAACGGCGACGGGGTTGAAATGAAATTTTAGAACGAGTCGATGGTAAAACGTGGTGGCTTGTCGTTGATTCGAGAGAGATAGCAAGGGTAACAGGAGAAAACAAGAAAGAAAGAAAGAAAGAAAGAAAGAAAGGAAGGAAGGTAGGAAGGATGGATGGATGGAATGGAATGGGTGCAAAAGTAGAGGAGAAGGGAAGTTCAGTCTCACGCTGATTCACCGGGAGATTTTAAGCTGGCTGATTCAGAAAGAGAGACAAACGGGGTTGAGGTAAGGGGTAAGGGGGTTGCTGTTGAGGTGGCGCGTTGGTAGACAGCGAGGGTGGGTGAAAGTCGGGAAAACAAAAAACAAAAAAAAAAGAAGCAACGCACCCTCGGTAGTCTCGTGGCAGGGAAAACCCGTCGAGTAAAACAAAAAAGAAATATCGAAAAGAAAAAGGAAGGAAAAAGCTCGTCGAGGGAGGATGCTTTGGTTGAGTAGAGAGGACTGAGTTTTGAGGACCGATGGGGGGGGGGTGAAGTGAGAAGGGGTAGTAAAAAGAAAAATAAAAAGAACGTTACGAAGATGGCTGGAAAAATAGATAGAAATGGATATATATGTGTATATATATATATATATGTATACAGGGTGCGTGCAATGTAATGGTGCCACCATCTTTGGTTATATACAAATATATCCAATTTTTTTCTTTCCAAAATTCTTTTTCAAATTATATCTTTATCCATCCATTTTCTTATCTTATATATATATAAAAAAAAACTCATTTTAAAGTGGAGTCCAATTAACAATGGATATTCTCAAGTAAGAAATTCAATTAACGTTGATACAAGTTCTACCCTCTGTCATGTACACATACACACATATATATAATATACAAGCTGAAGAAAGAAACTTTCAAAGTCTACCAACACTGCAAAATTTTCAACGCAAGAAACTTTCAATTGTTCACGTTACATAGCTCTCACCCTTTATATAGATACTACATAGATATATTATATATATATATATATATATATATAGAGAGAGTAGTCCAGCTGTGTAGGGTTGACTATTCTCTCTTTCTCTCTCTTTTATCTCTCTCACTTTTCTTATTCTCTCATCGAGAGAGTGGGGAGTGTCGTTGCGCGAAAGAGAGCGTGTTGCCGAAAGGTGGAAAAAAGTAGTGGGAGTGAAAGAGAGGGTGGCCCAACTGGGAGGGTTGGAGGGTGAGTGAGTGAGTGAGCGTTGCGTTCGCACGTGCTAGTGTATAACATTGTAATGTATATACGTATATATGTAAGACGTGTAAGTATATGTAAGCCTCGAGATTGGAAGTAGAGAAAGATAGAGGGTGGTAGGAAAGGGTGGGAGGGTGATTATGCGATGGTAGTGATGGTGGTAGTGGGTGGTAGTGGTAGTGGTGGTAGTTAAAGAGCCGTTCTTCGAAGGCCCCTTCACTGTGCGCAGCTCTTCGTTCCTGGCTTTGCTCTGCATTGCGCATTCACGAGGCAGGCGCATCGTGCTGGTGATAGTCATAGTCATCGTGTTCTTCTCGTAGTCATTGTCGTCGTCGTCGTCGTCGTCGTCGTCCTCGTCCTCCTAGTCTCCTCGTCCTTCTTGTCCTTCTCGTCGATATTACCGTTTCAACGATTCACTTGATTTTTTTTTTTTAACTAAAACGATTTATTTTTTACAGTCCTCTTTTTATTTGCTTTTTATCTCGATACCGATACGATCGAGAGTAGTAAAGATTTGTATCACCAAGTCGTGAAAAAACAAGTTGAGGGTCATCATCAGTCCAGCTTGAACGGTAAGCCAAAAGTATAAAACTGTGTAAATAATACGAAATAATTTTGAAGTTTAAGTTCGATTATTCGATTACGGTTTGTTTGATTTTTTGAGGAAGAGGGTTTGGGGTAGTTGGGGGGGGGGGAGGAGGAAAGGGTAGCAGGTAAATGAATTTTTGTTCAGGATTTATTTGATCGTTATAATTCTTTTTCTTCTTCTTCTTAGTATAATTATGCGTTATTTTGTAAAAGAAATGAATTCGTGTTTTTGAACTTTGATCGATTAAACTTGACTGATTTCTCTTTTTTTTTTTTTTTCTTTTCTTGGAACAAGTATTAAAATATTGTGCACATTATATCGATGAAATTTTGGCACGAAGTTTATAAAGGTCATGAAATATATTATGAATGCTCATAATTTAGTATATGTTTGTAAAATATTTCTCTAAGTATAAATCAGGGGTTGAAACAAAAAATCTATTATGGAAGTTCAAGGTAATGAGAATATCGATTAATTTGAAATCACCCGCCGTTTATTCAAATTCGATCAGTTCTTTCGAACACGATTGTTAATTAATGAGATTTAATAAAATATTAATTATGATTATGTGAACATTCATTTGCCTTTATATTATAATAATCATTTTTTTTGCATTTCTTTTTCAATAAAGAATTTTAATTGAACAACAACAACAACAACAAAAAATTGAAGATATGTGTAATATAAATGAAAAAAAAAGAAAAAAAATGAATATTTACATTTATCGTTCAAATATATTATCTTTAATATATTTTTTATCAAATAATATATAAATCATTGTATGTATATTATTTATAAAGAAATATTATATAGATTAATATATATATATATATATATATATATAATGAAAAATGGTTGTTTCAAAAAGGGAACAAACACATTTTTCATTTAATTCGGTTGATGACATCTAATGAAATAATTATAGAATAGTAAAGTTACTGTAGATTAATTACATTAGAAGAGAAATTTCGTTATCTCTTAGGAAGGGTCGTACTCGTCTAAAACTTGACTACTTAACACTTGTGAGTGAGGCTCTCTCTGAGGGGCTGACAAAATTCGATCGTTACTACTAGCGGACACCGTACTTGTTATCTCGATGGCCTCGTGTCGTCTCTCCTGACTTTTAATGATTCAAATATCACGATAAAAAAAATATACACATATACACACATATATATATATATATATATATTTTTTTTTATATTTGGATTTATGGTACAAGGTAAAACATAACCTATATGAAAAGATAAAATACAATTGTAATTATTCCTTGCAAATTTGATTATTAACCCTAACGTTCTGTGACTTTGAATAATTAAAATATTACGCGATAAAATATACACATATATACAATTCTATTCTATTTTTAAATAAACATAATAAAATAAATAAATAAAAAAAAAAAAGAATATTTTGTTTATTTGAATTTATATTTTATAATAAATTGATATGAATATATTATCTATATAATTATATTTAAATATCTTTTTTTTCTTATTTGGATTTATGGTAAAAGGTAAAACATAACCTATATGAAAAGACAAAGTACAATTTTAATTATTCCTTACAAATTTCATTATTCTAACCCTAACGTTTATAGCACATCTACACGTTTATATATAAATTTTTAAATAAACTTTCTACAAGTGTTACACACACACACACACACAAAAGGAAAAAAAAAGAAACTTCTATATTATCGAACGTTTTCTACCACCAGTCAGCCATTCTTTTATTGCATACAAAAAGATAGAAGTAGAAGAAGTAACATTAATAAATACAAAATTCATAAGATGAAATTCTTCGAATGTTAATAATATCTATGTTGTCAAAGGGGATGTATACTATACAATATAAAGGGTGAATGACCGAAAAAAGGTACTTTTTTCCAGTCTATGAGTAAAGCGTAAAGCAAGAGCCATTGAATAATGTCCCTTAAAAGGGTTCACGGTTAGTAACACCGATCATTACCTTATCGCGGTTAGGTGCTGCTGCTATTGCGAAAAGTCACTCGTGCGTTTGCCTTTTCCCTTTTCCCTTTTCTGTTTTTTTTTTTATAACTATACCTATTCATTGATGTAACCTAAGGGAATAGATGTAAAACAAAAAGAGGGTTGAAAAAAAGCAAGAAGAAGAAGACAAAGATAAACAGAAAGAAACCAAAAGGTCTTGTGAATTCATTCTATATAATTTTAGTATGTTACAGGGTAGTAATAATAATCATATGTGTGTGTATATGTGTGGGGGAGGGAAGGAAATACATATTCGGTTAATACCCTGACTTATACACACACATACAGACAGAAGGAATATAGCTAACTATGAAAAGTTCGATAGGGTAGAATGGTAGCGTACAATCTCTTCAGTACAATAGAGGATGCAAGGTATGCTAGGTACAGACAATAAAGCGTAGCAAAAGAGAAAGCAAGAGAAAGAGAGAGAGAGAGAGAGAGAGAGAGAGAGATGGAGATGAAGAAAGATAAGGGTGGATAGAATAGACAAGAGAGAAGAGAAAGGGCGAAATAGGGGAATGGGTGGTTGAGGGGTGTAAGAGAAGGGGAATAAAAGCATATATACCTGGCCACGGTTACCAAGCTGTGTGTATCTGAGCGCGCATTGCCGTGTTCAACGTTGTGTGCGACAAACTAGATATCTGTGTGTATGTGTGTGTGTGTGTGTGTGTGTTCACGTTGACTTGGAGGGCGACAGGCGCCATGATATCGATCCTACGCAATATCGTGCTTGGTCCCATGTTACATGAACGAAGCAACGTTTGACGTGTCTCGTGTTCTACTTGCTGGTTTGTCACAAGTAAACGCGATTTATAGTTTTTACGTGTACGAAGTTTATGTACTAAAGCTCAAACATTTCGTTTATAGTAGGCTTAACGAACGAATGAATCTTTAGGAACACAATTCTGTATGCGTGTCATATATTTATATATATATATATATATATATATATGACACGGTTTTATTAAAATGTTTCATGGGAAAATATGATGTGTTGTTTTTGATCATTCAATTGGATTAAATGAGATTAAATCAAATTTATTGGATCTATCTATCGTTCGATAAAATATAATACGATTATATTTTTTTGTTTTGTTTAATTATATAAATAAATGAAATAAACCCTATAGTAGTAGAAAATATTGAAAAATATTGAATACACAGGTGTATTTAATATATTAAAAAGAGATTTAATGTCTTTTTTATAAAGCTTATTAAAATGCGTATTTTAAATACGATGATTGATAATAATTATTATATTTATATTTTCATTTGAATATAAAACATGTTATTATTATTATTATTATTATTATTATAAAACAGGTGAGCTGTTGTATCGATAAATTTGTAAGCAAATCCTTGAACAATGTGGGGTAGAGCAAGCATGGCTGCAGTGATTTTATTCCTCGCTTGGTTATGCATCTTTGTTCCTTGCCACGGTAAGTCATTTATAATTCTGTTGATGAGAATATTATCGTCATCACAAAGATCCCTTTTATTATCTAGGAAGTAACACGGAGCTTACTCCATCGGATATGGAAACATCTTCAACCGATGCTGAAGCAGAAACCATTTTGGAACGTGCAACTGCTTGGTTGTGGAGTCAACGGGACAAAGATGCTGGATGGGGTAACGATACTCACAGGGTCATTTTGGTTCTTCGTTTGGGTAATCTTTCACGTAACGATAACGTGGCATTACCTGCCCCATTGGAATTGCAATTAAGTTCTAAAGAAATGGAATTGGAAATAGTTCTTTTACTTTGGAGGTGAATTAATATGATTTATCATTTAGAAATATATTGACCAGGTTCTTCTTTTCATTATCATTTTGATGATCTTCAGACATAGGGAAGTTGGTTTTTCTCCAGTACGTTTGGCTCGTTATACTTTGGCATTGAATGCCATGTGCATGGATCCAAGACAATTTCATGGACACGATTTGATCGGAACTTTGCAACATCACGAACCACCGACAGATTATGAATTTGCCCTTACAACATTGGCTGCGTGCAGTGCACAAGCTCACGTACGTAAACGACAAATACGACGTTTGTTGGACATTGCTAATGCTTCACAAGATCATAATGTTGGTGAGTTGATTAACATTGAAATGATTAATGTATTAGAAACTAATGATTAATTATTCATAGATACCGTGGCTATGGTGATATTGGCACTGAGATGTATCGTACAAGATCATAGACATAGAAATTTACATCATTTTGTTCGAAAACCATCAATCAGTTTGGCCCAACAACAAAGATTAGACGGTAGCTTTGGTGATCTTCATACAACAGCATTGGTCATGCAAGCTTTAGAAGAAGTCGAGAACGAACCTACTGACAATTGGAACAGATCAGCAGCATTGGCATGGTTGATAAGTCAACAACGTCCAGATGGTTCCTTCAACGGAGACATTCGTGCAACTGCTGAAGCACTTCTTGGTGTTTCACCACGTGGGCTTGCTAGTATTCGTGCTTTAGATTGTGGACAGGGTTTGACAGATAGTTCACCACCTAGACTTACAACTAGCAATAGTAAATTTTTCCTTTCTATTCTTTATTTAATTAAAAAAATTGATAATAATGTTTGAATAATTATTGATAATAATTGATAGAAATAACGAACAAGTAAGATATGTCTCGTTAAAACTATGAGTTGCAGATTTGGCGACCTTAGAGAATCACAGTCAAACATTAGCAGCAACTACAAGTGGAAGTAACATCAGTAATATTGATACTACTATTACTGGTACCTCGGTACCAATCATGGTTAACGTTTCATATACACTTTGGGTTGGAAGTAACGTCAACGAAACGTACAACTTAACAGTTTCTGCACCGAAAAATGAAACCTTCTATGGCGTGATGCTTTTAGCTGCTGAAATGTCACCACACTTTCAATTTGCTGCATCGGAATGGCCAAATGGTCACTACGTGCATACATTGGCTGGTTATAAAGAAGAACCGATGTCTTATCATTATTGGTTGCTCTATCGATTACCAACATTACCGGATCCTTCCTCGCCACCTGGAAATCAATTGGTTGCACCTGGAGGTGATACCTTGATCATTATTATTACTATTATTATTAATTGGCATTAGGAACTCGGAAGTTCATTGCCGCAAATACCAAACCCCGCCATTGTTCCCATCCCAGTGCTTGACCCTTCCATTCGTGGTCCTCGTAGCCCATTTTTTTAAGATCCCGAAATAATATTGTCCTCACATCTACGTCTCGGTCTATCCAGTGGTGGTCTTTTCCCGTTTGGTATACCGACCAATATTTTGTGCGCCATTCGATCCTTTTCCATGCACCGTGCCACGTGACCAGCCCATCTTAATTGGCGTGATTTTATGACGAACTTGATCATTATTATCTACAAAAATAATATTAATGAATTGATTGATTAATTTTGTATTCTTTTTGTCAGGTGTTGATGATCTTCAAGTCAGCGAGGGAGAACATTATCTCTTTTGGTACAAGAAGCTATGAACTGTGTACAAGAGACTGATAATCGAATAAGAAGATTCGATAATAATAGAAGAGATCAATCAGCAAAGAAATAAAATGAGAAATAGAGAATGTATGCTTATGAAAGATATTTATAGTATGAATGTTCATGCATCTGTTCTCGTATGAATGTATGAATCTATTTGAGAGAAAGAAAGAAAGTGAGAGAGAAAGAGAGAGAGAGAGAGAGAGAGAGAGAAAGAGAGAGTTAGTATGAAACTGATATTTCGGATTACTAGAGCGAGAGCTGAATAGTATTCACTGCCATTGCTAAACCGTAAAGCGTATTCACCTAAGCACGTATTCGTGCATAACCGCTCGTAGTTTCAAGGACAACCAATCAATCACAACTCCTCTAAGAACGGTAAAGAAAAGATTGGCAGTGATTTCTTAAACTCCGTTCTAGTGACTGTTTATCTAGGGTCCGGTATTTATTCAAAGATGTGAATTACGTTCCAACATTACCGGACCATATATATATACATATATATCAAGGAGAAACTACGCGACTCGTTATTTAAGCTACGAAGAATACCGTTTTCTATGAAACTGCAATGCACAACCATATTATATATTATGATATATCGTATTAATTAATATTTAATAAATCCGATACTCATACGTGTAAAAAAAAATCAAATTATATATATATATATATTTACATGTATGTATATACATATATATATATATATGTATATATATGTATATTTACTAGCAAAGAAAAAAAAAAAAAAGAAAAGATGGCCTGTTTCCTGTTCTTGCAAAAACAAAAAAAAAGTATCTCATTAATTTAGTAACAACTCGTATTATTAAAAAAAAATTAATAAAAACACAAAATAAGATATTAGATTGCTTATTGTGATAATATGGGTTATTAAATTAATTAAGGACAACAAAAAAAATAATCAAATAATCATCATCATCATTTCATTCGCATATGCTGTATCATATGATTTGTTGTTTAAAGTCAATAAATAAATAGATGATTCATATGAGAGAGAAAGAGAGAGAAAGAGAGAGAGCGAGAGAGAGAGAGAGAGAAAAAAAAGAGTACAAGGAAATGGTGCATTGGTTCTTAGTATAGGTGTCTACTTAAAACAAAGGTATGTTCCTATTGATAACAAAATAACATATTTTTGTGACATATATATATATATTAATAATTATAATATTATTATATTCTATAATTAATGCATGCACATTTGATGTTGAATATTATAATAAAATAGAGATTTTTTGTGAATTACCATATCAAAGATAAGTTATCGATGTAGATACGATGACAAAAGTAGTTTTTATTTAATCTTATAGATAGTAGCTAGAAAAAGTTTGAAAAGAATTCGACAAGTGCACAATATTAGGAGTAGAATAATTTATTATGTAATATTATTTTTAATTTTTTTTTTTTTTTAATTATTTATTTAATAATTATAAAAGTGTGCGCCTGTAGGAATGCAACCCGTCAGACACAGTTTGAAAATGTTACTTGCGAGCGCCATCTGTTGGGACGGAATTTTTGTTCAGTCCAAACTGTTCATACACGTATGCATTACGGGTTGCCTATCTTTCGGGCTGAAACAAATTTCGTCTCAACAGATGGCGCTCGCAAGCAATAACCCGTCGGTAAAATAAAGTAATAGTTATTACCATTAGATAACGATGAATGTCTTAACAGTCGGTAAGTGAAGTAATAGTACCGCTAGATGGCGGCACATATTTTACCAGACGGTAAGATAAAGTAATAGTTATTATCACTAGATAACGATGAATGTTTTACCAGTCGGTAAGTGAAGTAATAGCTAGTACCGCTAGATGGCGGAACATATTTTACTAGTCGGTAAGATAAAGTAATCGTTATTACCGCTAGATGACGGCACCATTTTGATCTGTAAACATATTATTGTCTAGGTTATTTGTTGTCACTGCAGTTACCTTCTATTCGCATAATAATTCAAAGGTATTTTAATTTATAATTATTTATTCTATTATTTGCGTAATAATGTTTATTTCTTAATACAATTTTTTAACATTGCCACACAAAAAGGAAATCAGACATCTTATAATATAAATATTTATTGTTTTAAAACATAGATGTGTGTTTGAATTAATTAATAATGTTTTCTACGTTTTCATGAAAACTCGTTAACAATTCGTATGATGGACAAAAGAATACCAAATTTGGATTTTCATGATCAACTTGCATGTTTATTATTTCGACAAATCGACGATTTGACAATTTGGTCATGGCTTTGAAAAACGTCTGAGTGAATTTGTCTTTTAATTCAACGGGTGTCATAGCAGGTTTTGACAATATTCGTGGTAATTGGATGAAAAAACTTGAGGTTAAGTATTCTTCAAGTAGGAGGGATATAATGGACTGTGTATCTTATGAAACATCAAAGTTAGATTTTATTAATAATAATTTAATATCAGAGATTAATATCTTTTTTTATATGATAATTTATATTATAAATATTTGTATTCTTATCAAAATACATATATAATATAAATATATTAGGTCTGTCGTAAAATTCTGTCTGTTTAAACAAATATTAGTTTAATTTTTTGTCACTAGGAATAAGGCCCCATTTTTAAAAATGGAATGCACAAATTGCCACCATGTTGCAATGCAAAAGATCAAAAGTAATTCAATCAATTAATTGTTCAAATATATGAATATTAATTAATAATTAATAAAATAATATTTAATGTATTTTAATAAATAATAAAATATTATACATTATTTAATATATTATTATATATTATATTATATTATATTATTTCTTTATCGAGCATCAATGAAATACCGCCATGGATAAACAATGGCGGGATTTGGTATTTGCGGCAATGAACTTCCGAGTTCCTAATGCCAATTAATAATAATAATAATAATAGTAATAATAATATATATTATTTAATGTATTTAATAATTAATAAAATAATATTTATATTGTAGACTAGGGGTGCCTTGCTACGCGTTTCTGTGGCTCACAATCAGTCCGATACACACGTCTTTAAGTCAACGAATTACCTTATACCGCCATCTCTTAAAATCTTATCGAACTAACAGAGATAATCGTGACTCTTTGTTAATAAACAACAAATAATTCGCAATAAAATAATATTGCGATTATAAATTGAGATATAAACTATCCTATCTTTCAAGTTGGATGAAACTGCACACAATGTGCAAAATTTGATTAAAATCGGTTCATTAGTTTAGGAGTCCATTGCGGACAAACAACGTGACACGTGATATATATATATATATACCTTCTTCAGCTTCATAAGAAATTCTCGTGTGTTCTGGTGCAAATGTAACTTCAGGCTTATCTTCTTCTTCTTCTTCTTCTTTTTTTTCTTCTTCTTCTTCTTCGTTTTTCGTCAGGTGGTTCGAGTCTTGCGTTTTTTCCGTGCTCGATTTATCTTCTGAAAAATATGCACTAACATTATTATTTATTTTTATGTCTCGCGTAAAGGTTATGCAAATAAGTTGATTAAGAATTATCGAAGGTACGAACGAAAAAAACCATGAAACCCAAACGTTTGTTTTTCTTTTCTTTTTTTTTCTTTTTTTTTGATAAAATATTAAAGTCATTCTTATTTCAGCACCTTGCACGTATCGATAGTGAAATTATTTTCATCATTCTCGTTAATCGTTCTTCCCTTTATCAATATTACATCACTGTAGTTGATAAAACCTTGTGTTAATTCCAACGATGTGTCAGTGACAATTTCAGGATTTTCAGGTAGTCCAGATTCAGCAACGGTTACTACGATTGCTTTTGGTTCAGCAGGATTTTTGTTGGATGATCTATCCGTGCTCATAATCACGTTCACGTTCACGTTCACAATTTTTTTATTTTTATTAATCTAATTATTCGAAAGTTTTCAATTTAAAAATATAAAAAGAAAAAAATACTTTTTTCTTTTTTTTTTTTTTTATAGAAATGTGTTTAACGAAATGTGTTATATATATATATATATATAAAAGGAAAATAATATGACAAATAATTTATATAATTTTGATATTAAGAAAAAAAAAGAAAAAAAAGGTTCAAAATTACCAAATAATAAATCAACGTGAAATTAACATTTGCAATCGAACGATATCGATAATCGATTGCAACGATATTACTGATCAATATATTTAGGGGAGAGGGGGGGGATCGAAAAGTAATGGCCGTCACTACGCGTGTCAAATTATTTCTAATATTTTATAATCAAAAAAACTCGATTGATGATTTTTATCGTTACGATATCAAACAATTTGCCTACCAGATAGAAAAAAATTTAATTAATTCATTGAGTTATTGATTAATAATAAAAAACTTCCTTGAAAAATATATTTATTTGAATTTTGAGGTTAAAAAACAACATTACATTCCGATGCACCTTATATACTTATATATATATATATATTTTTCCAATTACAAAATAATTAAACAAGTCAGAAAAAAATAATCAAAATCAAAGAGTCCCTTTTTTTTTCTTCAAACCATAAAAAAAAAAACCAAACGAACTTTGTAATTAAACTAACACAATTTAATATTTCGTCATTCTGTTTAAAAGAAGAAACGGTGGGGTGGGGTGGGGTGGAGGGGTGGGGGTGTGAAGAAGAAATAGGCTCGAGAGAAAATTCTCAATGAAAGATCGAGAGAGAGAGAGAGAGAGAGAGAGAAATAGTAAAGGGTGGGGGGGGGTTAGAGAAAGAGAGAAAGAGAAAGAGGTGGCAGACCGCATCCGAGGGGTGGGGGAGAAACTCGCGTGTTTCGCGAAAAAGAAAAGCGCGGAAGTTCGGCGCGTGTCTCGGCGTAACAGGTGGTTAAACTGCTGTAAAGCAGCAGAGAGTGAGAGAGAGAGAGAGAGAGAGAGAGGGAGAGAGAGAGAGAGACAGGTTGAGGGGTGTAGAAGGGTTGGAACGAGAGAGGGAGGCTGGCTTAGAGAGAAGGGGGAAGAGGGTTGAAAAGGGTCGGACTTCGCGAGCGAGTGAGACCACGAAACGCGATTCTACCTTCTCTTTCTCACTCTCTCTCTCACTCTCTATTTCTCTCTCTTACTCACTATTTCTCATTCTCATTTATCTCTTTTTAAATATCTATCGCAATTTTCTTTCTTTACATCCTACACCTATATATATATATATATATATATATGTATGTATGTATATTATGTGTACGTTCAAGTTAGGTGTATGCGTGTGTTTGTGAGTGTATGTTAGCATGTGTTAGTTAGGTATATTTATCACGTATGCTTGAATAAATTATTTGAATCGTGCCAGCAAAAGATACATACTTAATTAATTGCCATAATACAAATGTGTTCTGTCGTTCGAGTTTTCTTCCAGTTGAAAAAGCAAAAGATGCGTACGAGTGCATACAAAAATGTACACATACATACATACGTGTATATATATATATATATAGTATTTTTTTTTGAAAGTTAACCCTTTGTTTAATATGAACGTTAAATTATTTGACGTAGCAAATATGGTGGAGGACTCTTGACTGTGTTCTTTTTAATACCATTAGGCTTGTGTTAATCGTTAGAAATAGTTTATTTCTTTTTTTTGGTCTTTATTCTTTTGTTTTTTTTTTTAAGGGAAAGGGAGGGGTGAAACAAATTTGTT